CAGTGGACGATCAGGAGACGAGACAAACACTAAAACCCTCTTTCCACTGGCAGCCAGGATCCAGGACATGAACCAAATGAAACAGAACAGAAAGACTGACAGAAAGACAAGCAATGATCTGGCCCTGAATGCTCAGGCTGAACTGAATATAAACCAGAGGAAACAGGTGAGAGGAATAAATTATGATTGAGGGAGGGAAGGAAGAGGGCAGGTGAGAGGAATTAATAATTAAGGGAGAGCAAACAGGCCAGATCATGACAAGTTTACTTGTTTTTTTTTTTTGTTTGTTTATTATTATTTCTGATGACCGAGGACATAATTGAAGGGGTTAAATGACCAAATACTGTATAGTTTTTACAATGTCATATTTTTATTTATTTATTTATTTTCCTAATGTAAAAAGCACATACAGTATTAAAAAAAACAACTCATATTTTAGGGGTGTATTGATTCAAATTAGGCACCCCCAAGCTGGCAGCTACTTCGATAGATGTTAAAGTAAAAGTTAGGAGATGGGTTGGTTAAAAAATTAGAGATGCCACCAAAATGGCAACAGATTATAAGTTTATACAAGTTAGTAATATAATGCAAGAAGCTCGATGTCTTTCATGGGGCCCCAAATTCCTGATTGTAACTGTTTATTTGAAGTATTATTTAGACCAGCCTTCTTTATCAGACGTGATTTGATGCTACAGTTACAGTTTTTTGGTGCATCACTTTATCAGCAGCCTCTGGCTCGTCACGTGCCCGGTCATTGGATGTCATAGAGGTGTGTGAGGAGCACCAAAATATGGCGCTATCATTTCCAGCCAATGAGCAGCCGGTTTGTAACAGGTTTCAGCTGCCGTCACCGCAGCGACGGGGACGCGCAGCCAGGACAGGAAAGGATTGAGAGGCATCGGGGTCGCGCTTGTCGTGCTGCTCTGCCAGGTTCAGCATTATGGGGGATCCTGGACCCCGAGGCGAAGGGGACCCTCACCGTCTGCGCCGTCCGTCGTCTGTTCATCCATAACCGGACAGTAAGCGACCTGCAGCGGGGGGGGGGGGCGGTGTTTCATCACAGCTGCTGGGAGCTTAACCAGTAGACGCTTTGGGGAAACTGGGAAGTCTACTAACTAAAGTCTATACCGCATCGAACTGAGTGGAAACGATGAACAAATTGGTGATTAGCGTCCGGTCCGGTCAGCCTGGGCCAATCGGAACAGGCTGGGCTCTTCCAGAGTGAGGTCGGCTCCCATCTGTTGACTTCTCCGCCGGGCGGCGATGTCCGCTTTCTGCCTGGACCTGCAGACGCCTGCCGTGCTTTCAGCACCACTAGAGCTGGACAGCGACTGCATGGAGCCGCGCGCGGGCCCCGGCGCCCAGCAGCCCGGCGGCTTTCAGGGCCACCAGCCGCCGCCAGCCGGCTCCGGAGGCCTCGGCACGGCCTTGGAGGAGGAACTGGCCTTGATCAGCGGGGAGCGGGGAGGCGAGGAGCAGCTGGCGGAGCTGGAGGCGCCTGCATCGGGGCACCACGCAGACATGCTGCTGCTCTTCCGACAGAAGGAGAAGGACTTGGTTTTAGCAGCTAAACTGGGTAAAGCGCTGCTGGAGAGAAACCAGGACCTGACCAAGCAATATGAGAAAATGCACAAAGATCTCTGTGAGAAGTTGGAGGTAAACAAGAAATCATTCAAGTTTCATTAGAATATCACAGCTTTACAGTCTGGAAAACTAACCTATGGTATTTTTAAACTGATTTGTTTTTGGCTGCAAAAAGTTGTGCATCATCTGGATCAACTGTAGATCAACTATAAAAAGCAGCCCTGTTGCTTTTTGTATCTCTGCTTCTGTCTCCTTGAACCCCAGTGGGCCTCAGCAGATGGCCGCTCACACTGAGCCTGGTTCTGCTGGAGGTTTCTTCCTGTTAAAAGGGAGTTTTTCCTCTCCACTGTCGCTACAAGCATGCTTAGTGTGAGGGATTGCATTTGAGTCAATGAGTCGATGCAATCAACTGGTTTTCCTTAGATAGAAAATCTTGAATCAATCTGACTGGATGATCTGGTTGAACTATAAAGTGCCTAAAGATGACATGTTGTGAATTGAAGCTATAGAAATAAACTGAATTGTATTGAAATTTACAAAGAAGCTGAGAAAACAGTCAAATGCAGGGGGTGGGGGCTTTAGATCATCTTGTTTTCTAAATGCCTGACATGAGCTAAGCGGAGGAAAACACCCAGAAAGGCTAATCCTGTTTATGCCCTGGCCTTGCAGTATCTGCCCGGCATCTGCTCAGCCCTTTGATCCATATTCATCCCTCCCCATGAGCTCAGAGGAATAAGCTGCTGCTCCTCTTCACGTCCCTCCTTTCATGGCGGCTGTTGGCCACAAGGACAAAATAGTTCAGATTCCATGTTGTAGAACCATGATAACAACTGCTAATCAGGCTGTGATGGGGCAGAGCTGCACAACCTTTTTTTGAAATCACTAAGGCAGAAAGAATTCAAAATAAATGTGAACTCTCTTCTGGAAATAACTCCTTGAACTAATAACTCTGTCATCGGGCCTTTATTTGATACACTAAGTAGAACAAAATGGCAGATTATGGACGTGGACATCCCCTCAGCACCATGCTGCCACCACCATGTGTCACTCTGACAATGGTGTTTAAAGGTGATGTTCAGAGATTAAATCACACTTTGACTGATTATATTTAATAAATTAACTTTTTAAGGTATTTGTAAAAAGAAAATGCAAACTATGTACAATAACATCATTGTAAGTAAACAGGTTGTAAAAAATTCAAGGAGTATAAATCAGATTTCAGTTGTTAGACTGAAAATAATTGCGTTATCTATAAGCAGTTCCTTGGTTCTTGCAGTGAAAAAGTGTCTGATGCAAAATGTATCGGATGATAAAATTTTTAGCATGATATAATTTAATCTTTAATCTTTAAAATCAGATGTGGGTTGCATTTCTAGATACTTTACTCAAAAGAAGTAGATCTATTTTAACTTTTCTTTGTACCAGAGTTAAAGTAAAACATAGTAATCATAAATAAGAGCAAAAAGGGCAACTTAGGTACAAAGCGTTTTATTTGATTTAATGTTTTAACATTAAATCAAATAAAATCCAACAGTTATTTACAAATTTCAGTAGGTCAGTGAATAAATACAATAAAAAATACTAATACAAAGTGGTGAGAGCAGTACGCTGGTGCTCTGAGAAGGTTGAAAGTACCTGGTTCGATCCCCACAGCCTCCTCTCTGGGTCCCTGAGCAAGACCCTTAACCCCACAATGCTCCCCGGGCGCCGCACAAGGGGATGGGTTAATGCAGAGAGTAAATTTCCCCATTTTGGGACAATAAAGAGATTTACATTTTATTTATTTGTTTTACATTTAAATATCATGATTTCAAAATTACAATTTTGGGCAGAAGATAGATTTTTACAAATGAATACTTTCAACTTATGTCCAGATGTAGTATTTAATGTGTACTTTATATGAACTGATTTCTGCAGAGGTGTTAAAATCATTAATGTTTATTCCTCCAGTATAAATCCTACTGTTTAAAAACACTTTTGTAGAAGTTAGAGGATCAACTTCGGCTTTTTACTCCAATAAAAGTGTAAAAGTGCCATTTTTTAAACGACTTAAAGTTTAAAAGTAAAAGTAATGCAGGAAAAAATGTTAAGGACAGAAGCTTTCCTGTACGGAAGAGGATTAGGGCCACTGAAAAAAAAAATTAACTGATTTCTCAATTTTATTTCAGTTTAACATGAGAAAAAAGTCAGAATTCTGACTAAATTCTGACAATAAAAAAGTCAGAATTCTGAGATTAAAGTCAGAATTCTGAGATTAAAGTCAGAATTCTGACTTTTTTCTCAGAATTCTGACTTTTTTCTCAGAATTCTGAGATTAAAGTCAGAATTCTGACTTTTTTCTCAGAATTCTGACTTTTTTCCCATACTAAGCTGAAATAAAATGTAAAAATCAGTTAACTTTTTTATTTTTTCCCACTGGCCCTAATCCTCTTCCATATTCCTGCTCTACCCCATTTAAGGAACATTTTTCTACAATTCTGGATGATAACTTCCTTAGACTTTATTTTCTTAGTTTTATAACTAACGGTAACAGTGTTAAATTTAACTTTCAGTCATCTTAAAAAAAACTTTATTTTGGTGTTTGGTGAACAACAAGTTGGGGCAGCACCGAGTCCAACCACAGATAAATCAACTGTCTGGATGAAAGAAATTATTTTGATGTTTTTTTATTTTTTTTTAAATACCAACAATGAAAATGTGCTTAAATTAAACAAAATTAACAAGTTTTTAAAATGTAAGTAGAAATAATTGCATAAAAAATGTAAGGAGTTGAAGTAAAAAGTTGTCTAAATAAATAATTACTCCAATGAAGTATAGATTGTCAAAATTCTATGTAAGTAAAGTAGCAAAGTATTTGTACTTTGTTAAAAGACGCATCTGGATTTCTGAATAGCTCAGTTTACTCATGAGAGCAACAAGACGTGTTACTCCAGAAGAGCCGTATTCTCACAGACATAGAGGTAGTTTCTACGGAAGAGGATTAGGGCCACTGAAAAAAAAAAAAAGTTAACTGATTTTTTACATTTTATTTCAGTATAGTATGGGGAAAAACTCAGAATTCTGACTTTAATCTCAGAATTCTGACTTT